CATCATTCACGGGAAGGCGGTGGAGCTTACTGAGGAATACAAATACCTGGGCACCACCTTTGACTACCAGCTGAAATTCTCAGCCAACACTGAGGAGTTTAAAATTCATTTTATTATATTTATCTACCTCCTCAGAAAACTCAACTCCTTCGAAGTCAGCAAAGACATCCTGCTGACTTTCTACTACTCCTTCTTGGAAAGCATCATGACTTTCTCCATAACCTGTTGGTTCGACTCAATTAGTTTAAAGAATAAGAACAGACTGCTGAGAATCACCTCAATTTGCACCAAAATCATTGGCCTACCTGTCAGAGATCTTACACTTATCCACAATCAACAAACTCTCAGACAAGCAGTCAAAATCATCAACGACCCTTCACACATCCTCCACCCAGCCTTTCAATGGCTCCCTTCCGGACGACGTCTACGCTGCCCCGCCTGCAGGACTGAGAGGCGGAAAGCCACCTTTGTCCCCAAAGCCGTCCTACTCTATAACTCCACCACATAAACACTCTCCCCCCTCTGTCCCCCAATCCCTGCTGTCCATCTTCCCCCCACCGTCCTCTCTGCAGACTCTCACACTTCCATAACAATGCTAATTTTGATTTTACATGAATACCACTGTTAATTTGACTCTACCTGAATACCACTGTTAATTTTACTTGAATACCACTGTTGTTTACTTGAATACCACTGCTGATATTGACCTTACTTGAACACCACTGTTACCTCTACTTAATAGCTGAACACCATGTTAATGTAATGTCATACCAGAATCTCACTGTTTATTGAACATCTAATGTCATACTAAAATCTCACTGTTTATTGAACATCTCTGCCTAAACTTGAATGTCATAGCTACCTCTACGTGATAACCTAACTCTATAGCGGTTACATTTCTATCCGTCAAGTACTGATACTTAAATTGCACCTTATCCCACTCAATCACTTTACTCTAGTACTGAGGCACTACTCATAAGTATATACTGTGTATATAGCCTCATTTACAAACCGGAACTATGTTCACTATTGTTCCCTTAACTTATTCTACGGCTCTTCCTTTTATTATCTTTTACTCTAGTTTGCTCTCTTTTGCTTGCTTTTTTTTCTTTGTTTTGATTGGTTTATTTTAACTTCCTTACCTGTGTATTCAATTGGATACCTCTTTTTTTGCACTATCATGCTGCTCAGCTGTACGTTGAATTGCCCCTCGGGGACAAATAAAGTATTTCTGAATCTGAATCTGAATCTGAAAAATGCTGACAAACTACACCCCATCAAGACCTCTGAGATCAGACAGCAGCTTTAGTCTTGTCATTCCCCGCTGTAATACTAGGCGAGGGGAGGCAGCATTCTATGCCCCACCTCTGGAACAACCTGCCCGACACCATAAAAATGGCAACAATGGCCATGTTTAAAAACAGGTTAAACATCTTTCTTTTTACAACTATGTTTGTTTAACTATGTTAAACCCCCTATCCCCAGCCACAACAACACACACAGACACACACACATACTGTATATATGTATATACATATATATATATATAGTTTCTATTTGATATAATTACCCACTGCATTGGGTTAACATGTTGGCCTAGAGACTCCCTGTGTTTCCTCCCCTCCTAGACTCCATGGATGCTGTTCTGGATCCAGGACCCCCTCCATACACCTGCCTCCTGCCTCTTCTATATCATCTGTATTGAAAACTGGAACTGTAAAAAAATGTTTGATTTTGCTACTGCTCTGAAAGGCGACCACGTGACAACAGACGGATTGAATCTGCAGCTGATGCAAAGCAAAGTTCTGTGTTTCTTATTTAAGTCATATATTAAAAACGTGTGCAGCCAATGAGGCAATGTTTAGATTCAACTTGGATGTTTCATCATTATAGTCAAAATTCCCCAACAAAACTTTTCACATTCATGTGAAAAGGTAGATAAGTTATATACTGAGACTGACATTTTCCTTAATTGGTCATAAAGTCATTCCATATCTAAATATAGGAAAAAAGAAAAAAATGTGAATTTCTGGCAGGACAGCACACGTTAAACTGTAACAGACATTAGATCAAAAGCCAGCAGATGATAAATATCATCTGCACTTAAAACACAATGTACAAACAACTGTGAATTAGAAGAAACAACACAACATCCTTACTGGACAAAACACATTGTCCTTTCATTGTGGTCCTGTTGGAAGAATTTCATTTATTATCATTTCTTTATGCTGTACTATCACTTTAAGAAACTGCTTGCTTCCCATCTTTACCTTGTCACACCCCCATTCACACCCATTTTCACATCCAGCTTCTTACTCCATATGCTCACACAAAATCAAATGATATGTAATCTGATACTTTTATAAACTAAATAAAAGAGCAGAGGAAGGGTGCAGCAACTCGGAGTTGATGAGGAAGCTGCCAGAGGAGTAAGCTGCACTCTCCCCTTGCAAGAAAAAGATCAAGACGTCTTTTGTGTTGTTTACTTTGTCGTCATTTATGTCAGAATAAACCTGACAGATCCAGAACTCTAGAAGCTGGATTCGGCATGTGATGAACTGTTAATGGAAATTGTAAAAACTTTCTGTGCCGTTCAGACAGATCTTTAACCTCTTCTTTCCTCGTTCTCACCAACGCTGTAGTCAAATCATCTAGTCTAGACTCCCTCATCCATGTATAGTCCACATGGGTGGAGACTATAGGACGCAGAGGATGGACCAGTGGACGTCACCACCACTCCCTGTCTCTCCTCACAGACCACTCGCTTCTCACTAGTCAGTAGTAGTGATGTGCGGATCGATCCTGAAATATCGATACTTCCGATTCTGGATCATTATGCTCTGAAATCGATTCTGAAATCAAAATATCGATACTTTTGATACTTACGCATTCTGAGATGAGGTGTATCCTAAACAGAAACATGGTGAAAAGTATCCAAATTATTGAGATGTTGTCTAAGTGACGCTCGGTTGGTGGGACTACTTCTTCTTCCGCCTGGGTGTGTGCGTCATGCGTAAGCACAGGGGCTCTACTCCGTGCTCTCACTCAGTCACTATTGATGAGAATTTAGGCTCTTTTTTAGAGAACCGGTTCTTTTGGCTCGGTTCACTGAAAAAATCCGACTCTTTCGGGTCCCAAATGGCTCCTCAGATTATTTATTTTATTTTATTTTTATTTTTGTTTTACAAATAACATGTTTTGGTGAATAATGAATTAGAAATGTAAAAAATAAAGACTATCAAATGCTTATTCAATGAATGGCTTCATTTATTCATTCATCTTTATTTAACCTCTGTAAAAATATATTATGAAATACAAAAACAGAGACCCATTGGAACAGGTTAGGTTAATTGAATAAAAATAAAAGCAGCACTCAGGTAAAAAAAATACTAGTAGTGCTATTATAATATAATTCTACTACTACCATAAACTGTTTACAGTAAAAATACACAAGATCAAGATAAAAATATTTTATATGATTGTGTTCTCAGGTTTTTCTATTGTTTTGTTGACTGTATAGTAAATGAGGCAGCTACCTCAGTACACTCCAGAGTTTAAAATAAATAAATAGATAAAAAACTCTGCCTTGGATTCTTAAAGAAGCTATGGTTTGAAATACACTTTTTTTATTTAAAATACAAATGATAAAATATCGGTATCGATATCGGTATTGGCAATACCAGCCCGAATTTTACTCGGTATCGGATCGGAAAGGAAATTGGTGGTATCGAACATAACTAGTCAGTAGTGATGGGAAGAATCAATAAAAAGAGTCGTTTTTATTGATTCAAATCTTTGACTCTCGAACAGTAAAATGAACGAGTCGTGAACGAATCTTGAACTAATCATTTCATTCGTTTTACAGCAGGTGGCGCTTTAGCCCTATTGTGGGCGTTGTAAAGAAGGCTGCGGTTCTCCGACACTAAATAAGGCAACATGGTTTGCTTCCGCTGACAAAGTCTACAAAGTACACAAAATGCCATAAGTAATTAAAACCATGTGAAAGGCTAAGAAATAAAAACACACCACAATGTGAAGATGAATGAGAGCAAAAAAGACCCGAGCTCTTTCACGTGACAAATGAAACGAATCTGCGAGAACGAGGCGAAAGATTAGTTCACAGAGAATGATCCGTTCATAGTGATTAGTTCACAGCAAAAGATTAGTTCACGGCGAAAGATCAGTTCACAGAGAATGATTCGTTCACAGCAAAATATTAGTTCACGGCGAAAGATGAGTTCACAGCGAAAGATTAGTTCACAGAGAATGATCCGTTCATAGTGATTAGTTCACAGCAAAAGATTAGTTCACGGCGAAAGATCAGTTCACAGAGAATGATTCGTTCACAGCAAAATATTAGTTCACGGCGAAAGATGAGTTCACAGCGAAAGATTAGTTCACAGTGAACGATTAGTTAGCAGAGAGTGATTTGTGAGTGATTCGTGAGTTTAATATGAATAAATATTTAATATGACTCGGTAGTCACAAGTCACGAATCTTTCATATGACTCGGTAGTCACGACTCATATGAAAGATTCGTTCATTTTGAACGAATCACTCGCGAACGACACATCACTACCAGTCAGGATTGATGGTGAGTGCTGTGGAGCTCGGGTCTGCGTCACCGCATTATACAACAGAACCCGTGCGCCCTGAATGCAGGAGTGTAAACTGGGAATCATTTTGGCGTGGCTGGATCCACCGGTTTACAAACAATAACTTCAGAGGGAACTTATCCCTCGCTTCTGGCTCTGCTTATCCAGCCTCTTGGATGTTGCTGCACACCTTTGTTTGCCAGCTGGCGCGTAAGTGATAGCGTGCACTTCACAATACGCAGGCAACCGTACACTCATCCTCAGTATGTTTCAGTGACAAGAGCCGGAGAACGAGCTGATGCGCCTACTTCTTCAACGACTGAACCGCCTCAATA